AAATAAAGCAAGCCAAGGCTGCACTGAGACAGCAGGTGGAGATTTCTGTTAATGGCAGAGTGGCCGCCCAGCCAGACTCCACTGGGACACCTGGTGTGAGTATAGCACTCTTAAGGTCAGGGAACAAGTGTGTTTGTGTGTGTGTGTGTGTGTGTGTGTGTGTGTGTGTGTGTGTGTTACACACATAAACAAACAATTACCAGAGCATAGCATAATGTTTGATACAGGACGTGTTTCTTTATTCACTGAATAAAAAATAAATGACCATCCACTAAACTCCTCCTCTCACCAGCAATTTTTCACTTATAGTCTAGAAACTAGCCCATAAATATGCACGGCAGGCTTTTCATTTCTCCTCTTTTGGAAGCAGTGTGCATGGAGCAGTAGAACGAGAAATACTAAGTATATACTAAGAGTTTGGTGTGCGGTGTCTTTTTCCAGCCTTTCCTAAACTGAAAATACATGAGCAGAAGTGTAAGGAATTGATTAAACAGTGTGTTGGTCCTCGCTAATGTGAGCTGCAAACGTTAGCATGTCCGGCTAACTAGCTTACTCTGTATAGTAGCTGAGCCTTATTTCCAAGGCCAAGGATTTATCATTACCTAACTGCATTTTGTGGGCTTTCAGGTTATGTTTTTTAAAAAAAGCTTCCTTCATGGTAGAATCATGTAGTATTTTCCCACTATGTGGCAGCTGGTCCAGAATGGTGCATCCGTCCTGCTTTTTATTGGATTTGGGAATGTTTACACTCCAGCAGCCGCAGCAAAAGAGTTATCCAAGACTGTTACATTCGCCATTAGCATTGGTTAGTCTTCATCCTAAAAGCCTTTTCTCTACAGTTTGAAAATTCTAACAATCAAGGATAAGTCTAACCTCGTCTTGCTAATCCAAGTATGTAAGAAAAGCAGCTAAACAGGTGCTATGTGGGATAATGATAAATTTTTTTCAAATCAAACTTAGGTACAATATTAGGACTAACTAGCTCTACACTGAAGAAAAAATATGTTTCTTTACTTTCATTTCTTCTTCATTTACTGGTGAAGATGCAGACTTTTTTTGCCTGGTGCAAAGTGTCAATGTTTTACCGAAATATGATGTATGTAGCCGTTCATATTTAACAGGGTTCTCACTTTAAAATAAGTGTGCTGGAAATCTGCAAGAAACTGTGGAGAAGGCATTTTCAAAAAACTCACGGAGCTACTGTTAGTGCAATTACTTACCTAGCAATAGCTGATAAAAGTCAGGGACAGTCATTTAATTTCAGCCAACAAAATCATAGCAAAATTAGCTACAAATGAGAAGCCTGCTTTTTTCAACTAGCGGTAAATTTGCCAGTGTTATCGTAGTAAACTGTAGGCCAACAGCAGAGGTAGCGTGGGTGTATTGGGGCGAATGGCCCAGTGCCCCGGCTGGTTGGTGGGCCCCCTGTGTGGGCTGCGAAGCAAATGTCAGTTGATAGAAGACACAGCCTGGCAAGAGGAGCTGCATGCAATTTCCTTCCAATAATATAATATAAAAAATCCAGCTATCCTTATCAAATGAAACAGTGACTTCAATTCCTGATTCCTGTTTTCAATGGGAAACCACCACAAGAATGAAATTTACCAACAAAAAACACTATATTCTAATCAGACACATTTAAAAAACATAAATCATAAAGTAACATTTGTATTTCAAACAAATGGCAAACTTATAAGCAAATTTCAACAAATCATGGGAATTCTGAGGTAGGCTTCTATGTATCACCCCGGACTCACACACGCAGTGTTTGCGCCGCGGTTTTGTTCCGTTTCTATGTTTATTTATTTTGAAAATCGACCAGATTCTCCATGTCATCTCTGTGTCTGACTTCCTGCCTGGATCATCTGCTGTGTTACTTGACGCGGAAAAATACACTGGCTGCGTATTCTCTACGGAGCGGAGAGACAATTCTGTGACGCTTCTGTGACGCTCTGCTGCGGGTGTGAGCACAAGCGCTGACTACAATGGCCGCGATCAGCTTCTGCAGCCACGGCGCAGATGGAACTTTTGGAGAGTCCGGGGTCACCTAAACCTGGTAGCAGGTGGGCTGCGTGATGAAGCTCTGCCTATGTACGAGAACTAGGGATGAGCAAAGGTAGATACTCACATGCTACTCATTTGGTATCAATTCCTAAAAAAACCCGATAATAATATAAATACAAAATGTGGCTGGTCACTTCCAGTTATTTTCAATACTTTTGTATGTTCGTGCCAATAAACAGCCCTGACACTGGTTTCACATGAATGCGGGAACATGTGACATGAGAACTGTACACACAGACTGTTAATCTTTATTTCAAACTGTCAACAAACATAGTATCAAACCAAAACAAATGAATCACATACAAACAGTTGAAGCATTGACAAGTTTGATGCAGAAGTGTGTCATATGGTTTATATGACACACTTCCGCATCAAACTTGTGAGAGAATGGCAGTAATGAAACATAGCGTGGTTTCACTACTTGTCACCTCTAGATAAAAACACAACAAGATGCACTATTTGTGACAAGAACGTGCCACATACTAGGGTAAGTTGCTCTGGAAAATTCATGGCCTGTTTAAGACGATGAAGAAATCTTTAAGAAAGTACAAATGTGCATATATTTTATGCTGTGGATATTTTAATTTATTTTACTCAGATTTATAATTATTTATTTTATTATTTATGTAAATTACTGTACTGTTTTACACTCACAAAAATATGTTTGCTTTTGTTATTATGGCAGATATCTAATGATCCTCTTTTTTCTAAAAATGACCACTATTTTGAACAATCACATACACATTTAGGAAATTATGAGTATCTCTATCATTAAAATTGTAACAAAAAGTATCATATCATCATATTGAATGAAAAAGTTTGGTATCGCCAATCCGTAGCGAGAACAGAAAGCTTGACAGGTGTAGCAACAATAACTAATGGAGGTGGGGCTTAGTGAGCAGTCAATTGTCTCTAAAAGTAGAACGCTTTATGTCCTGTCTGGAAACTGTGAAACTGCTTCCTGCCTCCACCCACACTTTTCTCCTCTTTTCCCCCTTTTCCTCTCCTTTGCTGTGGTTGTGGTCGGGTGTCCTCTCACCTCTCCTCCCCAAAGGGCCCTCTCCCTTATTCAGTTCCCCCTTATCTGCCACATCAAAGGATCTCATTACGAGCTGTGACACCAGCCCCACCCTGAGCCAACCTGTTCCTCCATCACATTTAAATAGCATCACATTGTACTCATAATAGGTAATGTCATGCACTGCGGTCTCTGATGTCTCGTAGATCCCCCTTTCCTTTCCTTTCTACTTCTCTCTTCCTATTTCAACCCCTCATGCCCGACAGACGGCTCTCTATAAAATTCTCTTTTATTTATAGCTTGTTTGCTTTTTATAAGGCAGCTGTGTAGACCAAAGTCGCTCGTCTTGTTTGATGTGCACATCTCTCATCTGTGATTACGAAGTGAATCTTAAAAAAAAGGACAGGCTGTTAAATGAAACGACTGTAGCGGAGCCTCCTTAGTGAAGATAATTCTGCACGCATTTTATTTGCCTTCTCTTCGTCGACAGCATCATTTTTGTCTGATATCCTTTCTGAAGACCCCCAGCACTCTTTCAAGCAGCCAGAGGGGCCTGATTTGGCGATTCCACCTGCAAACTTCAGCATCCTAGACCTTACCTGTTAGCTCAGGAGTCTCAGAGCTGCAGCCAAGGTAGTAATTAACAGGAGTGGGGTCCCACTCTTGTCGCTTGCCGCCCTCATTTACCCACCTAATTTATTTACTAAACAGAGCATTGGCCCAGCTGCACTCATGTTCCCGTTAATGCTCTCCACACCGGCAGGGCTGTTAAAGAACAGACCAGAACTTTCCTTGTGTGTCGTAAATAAGGCTTTACTGGGGCCACTGAGCACCGCCAGAGATGAATGTGATTGTAATAGCGGATGGGGAGCTTTCGTGAGCTGCATTTGTCATGATCAATGTGAAGACAATACTGTCTGGCAGGAATGATGGATCTTTAACTTTGTCTCCTATTTGTGCACTCTAGTTTGACAGATATCACTCATTCCCCACCTACAGGCAGTCACTTAAGCGGGTATACAGTCTAACCTAGATGCTCTCACTCGACTGACCCAGCTACAGTATGCAGGTGTGTGCGTGTACGCGGTGTGTGTAGCGTGTTGGTGGTGGAGAGGGCACATGCAGAGTTTAGGCAGAGAAAGCACAACTGCAAGGACAACTTCTCCATCTCTTCCAGACATTTATCTGACACTTGAGAGTAATAGATGAAGGTTGCAGCATTTTTGGAAGGGGATGCCAGAGTTTTATTTCACAGGATGTTTTGTTTTTCCCGTAGAGGATTTATTTTGGCAGGGTTGTTACTCAGAAGTGCCGCTCTTTCCTCCCTCTTCTCTTCCTCTCTATCTATCTCTGTCCTCTCTTCATCTCCATCCTTTATTTCTCTCTGAGGCTCTGTCTCTTTCTTACAGCCTCCCCTCCGTTTGATAAACTTTTGAGATTTTGTATAACAAAGCACACAAGAAACGGCAGCCACAAGAAAAAAAGGACAATCACGCTGTCAAGGTGCTTTGAAGAGCAGAGCACTGCAGCGGCAGATTAATGTCCTCATAAAGCGAGGGAGCTGATTTTGATGGAGGACTTTATAGATTTTGTAGGTGGACCACCTCCTTTGGGTGATATTTCTTTTCTCTTTTGTTCTACATACTTGAGTTAAAAGAGAGAAAAAGTGGAGAAATGTAAGAGTTGAAGCGAACACAGGGGTTGACGGTGACAGTGACAATAACCAGATCAGCAGTCACTCATGTATATGAAAATCTCCACCTTGTGGGAGAATGGCGTACTGTTTCAATGATTATTACCTCTCATGTACAATCGCCTTTAGCTTTGTCCTCCTCACACATACATTGACAGAGTTTTCAGACAGCTGAACACTGATATTGCACCATTAAGAGGCAATTGTCCAAAAATGATTGGCCCCTTACAAACAATGAATCACTAGTTTCTATGGAAATGGAGTCAAAAAGAAAACAGCAGTGGCTATTGACGTTGGCAGGTAATGAAATGATAATACCCCGCAGATGGAACGGTTGTCAAGGAGTCACTGACCTTGATTCCTCTCAGAGTTACTTTCTGTTCCCTCTGCTCAGGGTTGATAAGAGCAAACAAGAAACATGCAGAATCAAAAGATCTGTCAGATCAACATTTTTGTCTCACTTCACATTTAAAACGCACATGAGAAACATTTCAGAATTTTACCCATACCACACAATGTGTATCTGTGTTTGACGATAAACAAAAGTGAGGGTCTATCCTCTACTGGTGACTAAAGACTACTGGAGTGATAACTCAGATGGTGTTTGCTTTTTATAAAATCAAAAGCAAACAGCAGCCCTTCCTGAACATTAACTATACGTGATTGCATATTTGTCTGGAGGGCAAATGGAAAGTCTGTGGAATACAAAAGCCTCATGCTATATATCTTCCCTTTTTTGTTGAGGTCTTTTGATGAAATTCAATTTGATGGCCCAAACAGCAGAAAAAAGAGAGACTTGATGTAGGAGAGTTGAGCCTGAGCTACGCAAGCCGGGGTAAGGAGACCTCCCTCAGGGCCTGGCAGCCCAATCCAGTTTATTGATTTTCTGTCCTCTCCTTCAACATCTGGAATGCGCCAATAGATTATGACAAATGTGCCCGCCAGAGACCAACAATCATCTAATTGAACTTGATGGAGGACAGTTGAGGATCAAAGGTTGGCAAAATTTGGTGATATAGCAAGTTTCTCTACTCCTCCCAAAGACACTCCTTCAAAGTCTACAAAACAGGCCGGAGTCTCAGGGAAAAAAGGTGCGTCTTACGTCCAACCGTCTGTCCTCTCTTGTCTTCTCTGTGGCCGTGGACAGCTAGACTTTCACCGCACCGCTGAGCACAATGGAGTCAGTGCTTTACAATAACAACCTCCTGCCAAAAGCACAAAAAAACAAGGCAAGAGAAAAGCTCAGTGCTCTATTTTGATGAAAGTAACAAGCACAGCTTGTTGTAAATAGGCTTTCTGAAGCCTGAGGCAGCTTTTCTCCCCAGGGGACGTGCTTTCTGCATCTCTCTCAGGGTTGCTGTCGCCAAAAGGTTCTCTCTGTAAGGGAAAAAGAGGCACAAACAAGAAGTTGCTTCAGCTCTTCTGGCAAGAGGAAATCATCCCTCAGTAGGGCACACTAGCTGGGATTTACCATCCATTCAGATTAGGAATGAGATGTTTGGCTTACAATACATGATTGTGTATGGACCTTTTTGTAAACTGCATTGTTAGGATTACTGTCCAGGTGCACACAGAGACACATTGTTAGCTGAGTGTGTCGAGGTGTTGAGCTACTGAGGAAAGAGGTAGGGCCCTGTCTGCCTCAGAGCTCTTTCTCCTGATCCCTGATAACTCGGATGTGTGCTTATTCAAATGGGTTTTGCTCCGGGCACCCTCTTGCAAATCAGGTGCCATCCGCACTGGCATTGTCACACAAATTAGAAACGGATGTTTTAGGCAGAGCAGAGCAGAGGTGCAAAGTCTGTGGACATAGTTAGCCCTGGTGTCTCCCTCCACACCTCCACAGGAAGTTCAACCAAAGGAGCAAGTCTCCCTCCCCTCTTTGTCCCTTTAAGAGGGAAAAGGGACGTAAAAGATGATAGTCTCCAACCTGCCACCCACATTTGAGAGTAGTTTTTTTTCTTTTAATAAATCTCCTCAAACCTCTGTCTTCAGTTACCTTTCTCCCCAATGCCTATAAGCCCCTCTGATCCTTTCCAATAATAATGGCATTGCCAGCCAATCTCTCTGAAAATGGGTTCAGCGCATACCTAATCCCATTTAATTACTTAGACGCACAGGGCTCAGGACACACTCCTCAGGGGCCCCCTGAATCCACCCCCCCCTCTGTAAGCATGCCCTGTTTGCACCCCATCCACCTCTTCTCATGAATTATGGATCTCTGGCTGCAAGGCGAGGGGTGATCATTCCGCCTGCTCTGTCATAAGGCTCAGGGAGAGCCTTAGCTCAGTGTAAATATGGTGCCTGTCTGGGGTTGAGGTGCCCTATTGTGCATGGTATTAAAAGCTCACCACTCTCCCTCTCAGTCCCTCCACTGCTGCAGTGCTCGCAGCAGGGGGGCAGGGGTAATCGCACAGGCCTTCCAGCACTCTGCTCAACTGCAGCCAGGCTCACGCTGACCGGCATTATGGCTGACAGTCATCACACCTGAGAGGAGGGGAGAAATGAAAAGGAGTTGGGAGTTGAAAACTGGAGAAATGGGCTGAATCAGCCCAGTTTTGCTGTTGATTTGTCAGCACAAAGGCCGGTTTACACAGTGAGAAAACACTTTCACTTTCAGTGTGATCGAATGTCGAAGTCTGTTCAACACCGTGCTGTGATGGTTATATGACAACCCCTGAATGATAAAGGTTTTTGAATGCCAATCAGTGGCTGTAACAGTGATATCTGTATGCTATCTGAACATTCTGAGTTGCTGCTGTTGATTCCAGTCGCTGCCACAACGTTAACAGCTGACTAGAGCCGCGGAGCACACGGGATAAATCATGTTGTCCACTCCTCGTGTGTTTGGCTGACAGGATCAGACCTCTCTGCAAACACTTCTGGGCATAATATACCGTTCTCTTGTGTCATTAACTGTTTAAAGACATGATGAGAATATTGAGAAGAAACGTCTCCAAGAGTCTTCATCAGGATTGTATACATTCGAAACAACTAAATAATGTACAAGATGGCCACCTAAGTACTCTGTAATTGGCAATGTCACAGTTCTCCCCTTGCCCTAGGAAAAGAAAAGAAAGATGATGTCTGTGTCAGCTCCGAGATGGTTCGATGCTGTCTGTCAGGGCCCTGAGCACATTTCCCTGAGCTTGATACAGACAGGGCTTGTCTCGCTGCCCTCAGCAGCAGACAGACGTCTCATCTTTATCTCTCCAGATTTCTACCTAATCTGTTTCTCTCCCCTTGGCCTCTCTTCATGAATCTGTCATAAATCATTTTTGGATTCTGGCCCCGTTTGCACAGACGGTTTCATAAAGGGAGAGGAATGGGCATCAGATATCCACACTAAATAGCGATCAAATTACACGGGATATGAAATGCTGTAGTTTGGAATCCATTATACTACTCAATAAGAGTCTTCTCACTGTAATATGTCAGCTCTGGACCTGAAGGGACAAAAGCACAGATGGTACTGTATATGTGCAATATGCATATGACTGAACAGTCTAATAACTGTGGTTGACAGCTGAGTGAACAACATACAAGCTTAGCGCATACAACTTGTTCAAAAAACAAACCTGCCTCTGTTTTAGTCTTAGCGTATGTACATTAAAATGTGCCTGATTGAAAAAATGTTACAAAGAAGCTCAAAGAAAGACAATAAAACTGTAGCGGACCTTGAAAATGAGTCTGTGGTTGCTTTCAAACCGCCCACATGAGGTGCTCTTATCCACAGATGAGGTGCCTTCTTTACTGGTTACATTGATTCTGTAGGTTAATTACAATGTTTGTTTTTTTGTTGCTTTTTTTCAAGGTTCACATGAAAACAACTAATTACATTCAATAACAAACTAAAGTGCTGATCGCACTAAATGGACCGGACTTATCTTCCTCCATCTGTTAAAACCCCTGCTTTTTTTTTTTTTTTTTTTTAAAGGGCTCTTCAATTTGACAAGTATCATTGAAAAAGTCCGTCGCCATGGCAATGGCAGACTCATTACATTTAATCCACTAATTGCTAACTAGCTCTACAATTGGCTGTAATTGCTTTGGGGACACAGTTAACCCCTTGGTTGGTATGCAGAGCAAGGCTACTTCTGCCGGCGTCGGACAAAGGCCAGAAATGAAAGATGGTGCAGTGGAAACTCCGCCCACGAAATCCCCCCCCCCCCACGCGCCAAAAAAAATCTGTGCACACTCCATCTTCATCATCCAAGCATTCCTAAATCTCCTAGCACAATATTAATTAATGGGGATGGTTGCCATGGTGATTGATCACCATATTCTCTGTCAGCAGTATTTAGTCAAATGGGCCCTAATGTTTGTTTGTTAATGGAGCAGTAAACAATACTGCTGGAAGTCTTTTATTACCTCCTCAGCTGCTCTGCTAGCACCTGGGCCATTCAACGGCACTCTGTACACCCAACATCAAATGAAAGAGAGGAAATCTACTCGGGATGAGATAAATAAATTCTTTTTTGCTCTCACGGTTAGTGAGATTGGGAAACAGAGACCTAACATGACAATACTGTAATATGCCCTACAATAGTGGAGCCATTACAAATCCCTGCCATATGTAAAGAGCTACATTATGGAAGATGTCAGAGTGCACTCAAACAAGGGATTCTTTTATACCATCAGCAATTTTTCTATTTATTTAGGAAATGTCTTTGATGGTATCGGTGTCATCATTAAAATGATTATATGATGATCAAAACATATAGGGTGACCAATGAGAAAACTGATTTTAGAATACTGTGTGTGTGTGTGTGTGTGTGTGTGTGCACGCCCGTACATGCTGGCGTTAGACTATGTTTTAGTGTGTGTGTGTGTGTATATGAGTCAGGACACTGAACAAACCCAAACCCCTTTGAAGAGTGAAAGGCTCAAAGGATGGAGAGGCAATCCGAGAACTTCACAGGCGCAGAGGGGAAATTGCCTTGAACCTTGAGGTGTATGAAAGTGCAATTTGTGTCCCATCTGTTCTGCTTCCCTTCCATTAGGAGGAAGGGTGCTCTAAGGCCACCGAGGAGAAAATGCCCCTGTGAGGGTCTCTGGGTACACAGAGGCTCTCGTAGATTTAATTTGACAGACTAGTCATTCCCTTTTCCTCTCTGTACTATTTTGGCTTTGAATGTTATTACCTCCTGTAATTTAAAAGAAAAAGAAAAGAAAGAACAATGCATTTTGCTTTTGGAAAATTTAGAATGTACCTGACAAAAGTAGCTTTTGGATTCATGTCTCTGTGTGAGCCAATAAGCGATTTGGACTGTAATATTTCCACGCCATATTGACCACCTTTTCCAGGACACGGGAACATTGTAGACGAGAGAATGAAAATGAGAGTGAGACAACCCTACAGCTCTATTGAGAGACGAGCCTCTCCACCTTCACTAAATCCTGTCTCTGTCATACCACTCTGCAAAGTGGCTGGATCGGCTTCCTTAACTTTTTGCCCTTTCTTCAGAGGGATTTGCATGACAGAAGCCAGGAGAGAAGTTTGTTGCCCGGGCAACGCATTGCCTCCATTTGCAGTTGGAGCAGAGGTGTTACGAGAGCAGTTGGGAACCATGGCATCAGAGATTAGATTAGAGGGATACATGTTTGTCAGAGCTAAGGTAGTAGAGTGCTTTACTGGCACCAGAAAGAGCCACTATCAGCGATTCACATTTTAAATATAGCTTTGGAGGAGAGAATCTTTGAAGTATTACTGGTGCATTAGGTCAACTGTTGACCATTTTAGCTCTCAGGCATCAGCACAGGCATCTAAATTTGAACAGAAGTGTCGACACATTTTTCTTTATAAGGCATAAACCGGAGAATTTGGGAGATTATTTCTGCAAAATCTGTGACATGAAAGTTTAAATTTCTTTACAATTGGGTTATTATTCCATACGATGCAAAACTGTTAGTCTTCAAAAGAAATTAAAAACGGCTATGTCTAAATGTAGGAATGATTGTTGTAGATGATTGTTGAATTGTATGCATAATGATCAGGTGAAGACTGGGTGTTCCTACATGGCCAATTTTCTCTTTTGAATTCCTGTTTTGAACTATAAAGAGCTGTGATGGACTTTAAGTGCCCTTGATTGGCGGTAATTTTTTCTATTTACTTTAGTCTATTTTTTTTTGCATGGCTGATGTGGGATTGTATATATTTATTAACATGTATATCTGATAAGAAAACAAAATAATAAGTTTTACTTTACTGAGTTTGTGTTTATGTTTAATAATGATAATTTGTAAATCTTCTAGGCCTTCACATACAATATTCCCTCTGATCTATTTTATTTTGTTGTTTTAATATTCTATTAAAAAAGCAGTGAAGTTTTTTATAAACATGTGAATTTACATCTTTCTGTACATCATCCAGAAAACTTTTTTTGTAGTCAGCAAGGTGTGGTTCCTCCGGAGGAACCCATTTAAAAGGAGTAAGGTCGTTGGTGCAGACACCTCAACCCCTTCCCCGTCCTGAAATAGCGAAATCCTAATGGCACTTTTTAGTGAAACACTCGTCTCGACAAATTGATTTCCATGTGTGAAACAGAGAGTTGTCCCCGGAGACAACAGCTCCTAAAACCCTCTTCACACGTATATGTTTCTAATTTAGAGAAAAGGACAGAAAATGAATGTGAAATAGAAATGGGGTTGCATTGCGAGAGAATTGTATCAGCTGAATGGGCGAGAGGGTGCGTGCAGTTGTCGATTAGAACCACAGTTTATATAGAGGAGAGTGCACACAGTCCCTATTGCCAACTGTGAAACAAATGGCATCTAAATTGAATAATTCAGTCTGGGGGAGAAAGACGTGGGATTTGCACACAAAGACTGACTGACAGATAGAGTGAGAGGAGAGGCAGCCAACCTTTAACAGAGCTGAAGAGAAAAGACAGTAAATGGCAAGTTAGATTAATAGATTGGCAAGGTCTCGCAGAAGATGGGTTAATAATTCACCAAGCAAAAGAAAGGCGGCTTTTTTTGAGGTCAGAGTTGAGTGAAGAGGAATTATGATGATGGAAATATGAATATTGAACAATGTAGTTGAGATTCTTCCTTGAAACAAAAAAGGGATTAGGAGTGGTAGCAAGAGTCAAGGGTTAGAAGCAGGAGCAGGGGAAAGCTAGAAATGAGTCAGGTGGGTGTAGAATTAAAATCTGTGAAGGAACTGAAGTGTTGTGGAGTGTGCTGTGCTAGACAGAGGTCAAGGTGTTATTATAATCCACATTCAGCATCCGCCATCTAGCTTGAGCGTTCACCTCTGTCTGTATACCTTTTTAACCGGCGGCTGACATGCAGGCATGAAGCAGCAAATGAACATGTAAATGAACACCTGGATTTCTGAGGACTTCTTTGGATCCAGTTTCGTACAGAGTCATTTTAGTTGAACAAATACAAATCCCTCCCAAAGTCAATTATGTCATGGTGAAATGGGAAATGGACTATTTAATTTTTACAAAGCAACCTCTAACTCCGGGCTAATTACATGC